ACGTCGCTAATAATTTGTTGTGAGGTGATTTTTTAAGTTGTGACGTGAAATTCACTTCGTAAATGAGAGTTTTTTTGTAGTGTATTGAAAGTCAAAGGACATAGGTTTAAGTCTTATGTGAGACAATTATTTTAAGGAATTTATGTTTTTAAATTTTAAAATTTACACATTATATTAATATTAAAATGATATAATCATTGGCTTTCATTCAACTATAATCCATAACAACTTCTAAAATTTATACACCTATAATAATGTGAAAATCTAATCCTAAATAATGAGTCAATTTTAAAATCATAACGATACATGATTTCAATTCTATCATCACTACAAGCAACCAATACAAATATTTTTCATTTCACAAATTAAAATGTTTTATTTTTCTTTGAAAACCATAGGTTGAATTTCAAGAGTCAATATATACAGGGAATAACAGCATAAAAAGCAATGCTACAATGACCTTCAGGTCCACCACCTTGTCTTTGTATCTTCATGTATCCATCCACACCCCAATTTTTACCCCATGAATTCTTAATCAACCAATATTTCAATCCTGTTACAGTTGTTCCATAACCAACTATAGTAACCCCGTGGTCTAGAAAGGTTCCGCATGATCCTGAATAAACCCCTCCCTTGTATTTAAAAAAGTCCTGCCCAATAGAGATTGCAACTGCCACAGGTTGTTCTGCCACGGCTCTTAATAAATTTTCTTCATCATTTCTTTTTAGCCTTATGGCACAAGTTATGTAAGCTTTAGCTTTTGTCATATCCCTTTTTTCGCATATCCCACGACTTTCTCTGTATGGATATTGATATTCTTCAAAAATACCTCGGTTTGCTATTATATTATCTAAGGCACTGCGCATATTACCACCGCTACACCCGTGGCTACCGTTATCGCAATCAATTAGTTGTTGCTCGGACAATGTCAACAGAGTGCCCATTGTTATTTTCCAATAACCTTCTACGGCCGCCACAGTTGCAAAAGCCCAACAACTATCTACAATACAAACATTGAATAAATTAATATAATAATTACTAAAAAAACTTAAGTAATAGGGTTATTATACTTACCACATTTTCCTTGTCTCTTAACATCGGTCACCGCTCCTCTCTCTCTCCAATCGATACTTGTTGGAATATTATCGGTACTGATGTTGAAGAGTACTTCATTTGATATGGTTTTGGAGGAATAAGCATGGCTTGGAAGTTTGAGTCCAGTGTAGGAAGCCTTAAACTCTTCCGTTGTTAAATCAGAATATGGATTTAAGCCGAGCGTATAGGTCTTATTACCAGCACTATTAAACTTCTCAATATAATCTAAATTTTCTTTGAATATCCGGAAGCGTTTCTGCATTTCGGAACTATTTGTATATGTGATTCCATACTTTGTCATCCATTGCTGATGTGCTTTAATAATAGATGATTCAGACAACATTTGAGACATGCTTGGGTATGCATATGCCCACAAGACCACGATGCAAACAGTAATAAGATGTTTCAT